GCGGTCCGTCAGCCCTCCGGCGGAGGTGTGCAGGTCGGTAGAGGGCGCGGCGTGTGCGGGGGAAGCTGCCGGTTGTCTGTCCTGTGGTGGTGGTAGGTGGAAGCTGCCGGTGGTGCTGCCCTGGGGAGTGAGCTCCCTGCGCACCCTGCTCAGGTGCTCGGAGAGTGAAGCTGATGCCTTCTAACTCTAATCTTTTAGCCATTGATTTTCCTAATCACGAGGGTTTTCTTAAATCTCGAATCACTTGAAAACCTGAATTAGTTGTACTCAACTGTATCTGTAAAGCTATTGCTGTCAGTTGTGACAAATACTCGTTCCTGTGTCTAGCTAGAAAAGTCCCTGAGCTAGTATCTTGCCCTCACACTCTGTTTTAGAAGAATACTTGCTGCCTGACTTGCTTATTTTAAATAAGTACAATAGACCTATGGGGTTTAGATGAACGTGACAGTATTAAATCAGAAGTGTACCTTGGAATAAGATTCTGAAAGCTTATTTGTAAGGTATCAATTAAATAAAGTAAAATTCAATCTGTTCTACCTTCAGTAGCATCCATATAGTTTTTCTTAGTTGTTGTTGGCTTTTTTTCTTTGTTTCGTGACTCCACCACTATGTAAAACTAACGATCCTTGAAAATTTCTTATATTCTAGGTACACTTAGGTGGGAAATACCTAGACTCTTCCTGAAAGTATTGCTTAGGCAGCTCCTGAGTGTGGGCCTCAAATTCTCAACAGCTGTTAGTAATCTTGCCTGGGTTATACTGCCACTGGTGGGGGAAGGATGGAGACCACAAGGGAAACAGTGCCTTAGTAGACAGCATATGGCAAAACAGTGCCATGTCATTCCTCCGAGTCCAGATGGTGTGCTTGTATTTTTAGAAGAAACTGAAAACATATTAAAAAAAAAAAAAAAAAAGCTGACCAATTTTGGTTTCGTGTTTTTTTGTTTTTGTTTTTGTTTTTTTTTTGTAGACATAAAGAACTTCATATACTCTGAATCAGGCTGCTAAGTCATTCCTTCAGATGAGATTTATATTGTGTAATTAAGCTATGGTCCAACAACCATTTAATGCTAGTTCAGAATATTTTAGTCTGGAATATTTTATGTAAGCCTGGCTGAGATGAAGCATGGACTAAATTCTCTGCATAGTTCTGAAAGTCCTGGTACAGATACGTGGAGACGCCCTGAACTGTGAGAGTTTATTTCCTCTCCATAATTATGTACCAGGTAATAGGCCTGGAGAGGAGCCACAGCCTTTACTGGGTCAGTTCAGAGGCCTGTTGCCCTGGGAAATGTTGGGGGGAAGTACTGTTTTACTCTTCTGAAATGAAATTCAGCTTTGTAACAGCTGATGTATTAGTACTTTAGGCTTAAAGAATGAATAATTATTTCTAGGGATAGGTGTGAGCCTTGCTTAGCTTTCCATAGCTGTGTAAGATTTGATTTGGAATAAAAGAAGATTGATGAAAGCTATTTGCTTCCCTTCAGGGACAAGTGGATAGAGAAGCAGGTGGTGGGGATGTGGAGGTGTTGGTGTATTGCTTTATCCAGCGCTGGTTTGAACGTGGAAAAAGCACTTTATCCTGCACAAGGATGCCAGAGAGGGACTCTTCATTAGGGACTGTAGTGGTAGGACAAGGGGTAATGGGTTTAAACTTAAACAGGGGAAGTTTAGGTTAGATCTAAGGAAGAAGTTCTTGACAGTGAGGGTGGTGAGGCACTGGAATGGGTTGCCCAAGGAAGTTGTGAATGCTCCATCCCTGGCGGTGTTCAAGACCAGGTTGGACAGAGCCTTGAGCGACATGGTTTAGTGCAAGGTGTCCCTGCCCACGGCAGGGGGGCTGGAACTAGATGGTCCTTTCCAACATTAACCATTCCATGATTCTGCGGCTGTGTCACCAAGCAGGGCGAGATGCTTGTGTGGTGTCGAAGCTACCACAGCTGTCTGACTTTCAGTGCATGGCCTGAAACAGTCAAGTATTGGGATTTTTTTTCCTTTTTTCTTCCTGCATTACCTGAATTTTCTATCAATCAGAAGTGAAAAAAAACCCATGTTTTTTTTTAACCATTTTTAAGATGGTCAAAGAAGTAATGAGATTGAATGTCCGATTTAAAATGTTTCTGATATTTTTCCAGAGTTTAGGGTTTATTTTAGTAGCGATCACTATAAAAAATGGGTTATTAAATTATAAGCGTTGCTCAGTGACCATATGAGGGAACCATATGTTATGATCCTATGAATGACACATTGAGGCATGTAAATTTTTAGTAACTTTTAGATGCTATGGTTAGCTACCTGTTTTGGATTTTACATGTATAATGGATATAGTCAGTCTGCTACATCCTGTGTTTTACTCTTCTGTTCCTGAAGAGAGAAGCATCATTTTATGTTTAGTAACTATTGTAATGGCTGCATATGATTAAAACATAGGGTTTTATATTCCAACTGTGAAATAAATAGAGCTTGTTTAAAAATTCAGGATTCTGTTAGTTGAGTTTTTTTCATTTGGTCTGTTGGTTTTTTTTTTTTGCATATCTAGGAGTGTGACATCCAAGAGAAGATTAACTTTGAAATCCGCATGCGAGAAGGCATCTGTAAACTACTTGCAGTGAGCACACAAAAAGACCAACTCTTGCATGCGGTTAAAAACCTGATGGTTTGCAATGCTCGTATACTTGCATACAGGACAGAGCTACAGAACCAGAAAGCAGAGCTGATCTCATGCAGAACCAAAGAACAGTGAGTAAGAGCTCAAATTCAAATGAAACATTATGAAGCAGGCTTTTGCTTACGTGGATTCCTAGCAGCCTGTCTAGGAAACTGGATTTAAACCCTTCTTTCTGTCTTCCCCATACAAGCATACATTACTGTTGCCTTAAAACGTTACTTTAAGACTGTTCCAGTATCTTCTTTTTACTTTAGAAAATGAGATACAAGTCATGTTTTTCTGGGTAGATTTTATTATTGAAATGCAACTACAATTCAGCATCTGAATATCAGGTAACAGCCAGATTTTCTTGATTACCTTTAGCTTAAAAAAAAGGACCTAACCAAATCTGAATGAACAAAACTGTCCAAGAATACACCTACTTCTATTTTTCATTCTTTCTGTTGTTATTACGGTTACTTTAATGATGGAAGCATCATGGTTAATTGGTACCCTCTGCTGGCCGCTTCTGTTAACTACAGCGAAGTAACAACACCAATAAATATGAAGAAAAATCAGTTTAGTTGAAAATATTCTTGCATTATAAGTCTTGAATGAAGAGTGTTTATTTGAATAATGTTATAATTTTTGCCTAATAAAATATATTTTGGGTACACTGTTGAGAATCATGGTGCAGAGACGCTACTGCTGTCATGTTACTGCTTTAATGAAATATTACATTGCACTTTAGCATAGAAACTCCTTGAGTACATGCTTAGCTCCAGTTAATTGTACCTTTAGGAACAGTCCTGCTACTTTTGCTTTCGCAAATGCGGTCTTATAGGAGACTGTTGAAGGAAAGAATTGCATTTTCCGACTACATCAACCATTACCATGAAAGCTGATTTTTAAAACTAGCACTTACAGTGTGTGGTGTTCTGTAGCTATCACAGCTGTAATGCTTTTTTCTGCTAGGGTGAAGACCTTTATAGTGATTCATTTTTAATTTATGTTTTTAATGATGGAATAATATCAGGTATTTACTCACTCCTCTGTCTTTGATGTTAGTGACCACAGAATGGTGATGGCTAGAACACATCTAGAACAGGGCAGAGGTACTTGAAGATATATCTGAACAGTGGTATTGTTTTCTTACAGTAATGTTGAGCTGCATTTTCTACTTGGCTTGTGTCTGTCATGCATTGCTTAGAGTTCTGTCTTAAGTGATACTTTGACTTGTCAGTGGAGGTCATAAGAAGAGGCGCATGCTATGGGGTTATTTCTCTACCATTTCGATCGTGTCTTTGATAGCTGATAATGCATTTGCAGTTCTTTCAGCATTTGCTGAAGACTGGAATTTGGCTAAAGCTTAATCCAGATAAGATGATGATGGCTGAGAGAGAAAATTCTAGGGTTTTCAAGTGAATTTTGCCCCTGTTTCTTGTTATGTGCCTCTGTAATCTGTGAGTTCGGAAGATATTAGAACTGCCTCTGGAAGTCAGAATATTGGTAGCAGCTAAAAATTTTCATTTCGCCTTATTTGGTTAGGAGTTAGGAGCAGTAGCAGGTATAAGGAGAGCGTTCTATTGTTACAGCTTGGTTTGATTCAATTTAAGGTTGACTTTGAGATCTACACTCCGGCTACTTAGCAGAATGTCTGCCTCCATGTAAAATCGCAGTAGTAACAATGCAACCTTTTATAATTAGTCTGTATTTATAGAGGAGGTGGCAATTCTCTACCCAATAATAGAACTGATAAATTAAGTTGCTTATTCATTGATGTGTACGGGAGGAGAAAATTTGATAACGTATTTAATTCTGTTGGAGCTGGAAAAGACAAGGAAGACGACTCTACTTGTCTTTTAATACCTGGGTTAAATAAGCTTGGGAGTAAAATCTTCTAGGGAATTGAGAAAATTGATCATGTACCTTCCTTCTAGATTATCTTCAACTCAAGAATCTTAATGATTCATATCTTAAACCAGAGATACCAAATTTAACTTTAAAGAGAAGCATGTGAAATGAGCTATAATATGAAAACCCTGACACTTTTTGATGTTTAAAGGGTTGAGTTTTAGAAGTCTAAATGCATAGATCTCAAACCTTGTTTTTCTTTTCTTCTTTTTGGCAGGTTTTCAGAAAATGGGAGAAAAGACCGGATGGCATGCAGAGCAAAGGTTGCTATATCAGGTAAGTGGCTGGGTATTTACTTAATTATAGGAGCTAATTGGCTGGACAGTAACTTGTAATACAAACTGTACAAACAAGATTGTATTTTTAAAGTGTATATGTGGGGCGTATAAATGATCTTGTGCTTCAAGGGGACTTGTGCTTCTAAGTCACGCACCTGCTTTTGAAGAGCCTATCTAGTATTTCCATTTTATGTTCAGGGGCTTTCACAGCTGGAAATACTTCTTTTCTATTTGTCATGAGGTACTGAATACGTTTCAAAGCTAAGTAAGTGTGAATGTGCTGATAATTTTTTTTTTTATTTCTCTCAACAAAGACAAACTTTGAAGGGATCATACAGGGTGTGCCTAACCAGTTGAGGGCAGAATTATAACTAGTATGCAAATGTTATTTAATTACTGCAGATTACATTACTACAGCAAAGGTATAGTGGTATGGCTTCCATGCAAACTAGCGACAAAAATATTTAGCAGTCATTTCCAGTAGGCTGGTACACTGTTTCTTAGCCAGTTCTTGAACTTCAGCACTATGAATTTATCATTTTGTTTGCCTATGCCAATAGTGGATTACTATAGTACTACATTCAGCATTCATGTAGTTGTTCCTTGTGGCTGTTATGCTAGCTCTGGGAACAGATCTGTTTGTGCTTCCTGACCTACTTCGTTAAAAATAAAATAGTGTTGGAGGGCTCACTCCTTAAACTGTTTAGGTTAATTCTGCTTGTTTTGGCATATCTTTAAGCAAGGTAACGTCTAGTAGAAGAGTGGTGAGCACATGGTTCAATAATGTTTTCTGCCAGCACAGCTGTTTGCAGAATGCGTCTGTCCTTCCTCCTTGTCATAGTTGGATGAAAGCATCTATTTGTCTGTCTGTGCTGTGGTTGCACCTTTCTTTGGATTTATAGTTATCTGCAGTGAAGTCTTTAGGATCATGTAATACACTCTTGTTATTTCTAGAAAATCAGAATTGTGTAAGGACTGTGTTCTTAGTATGAAAAATTTATTTAAGATGTGAAACATTTAGCCAGGTTTTTTTTATGGGACAAGAGAACAGAAGGTTGAAATATACCGCTTCCTATTATATGCTGTCTGGTAATGATTCTGTCCAGTTACTAACATAGCGGTTCTCAAGCTGGAGGTTATGATCCTCAGAGGTATGGCATAGACTGAGGTGAAGAGCAGAGAGAGACAGCAACTACCTTGTGAATGCAAATCTTTGAGTGCTGGGATGCTGCCATGCCTCACCCCCTTCAGATACTCGTGCCAGGAAGCCTGGCCAGCTATGTTTTACAGCAGGAAAGCCCAAATTACGTTCTCAGCCTCTGCTGCGGGATTTATGCTTTCTATAGATCACCTGTAATTAACTCATTTTCCAACGTTTTTGCTTGAGAAGCAGAGAACTGGGGTACATGAGAAGTAATTGTGGGGACAGGCTTGTTTGTGCTTAGCAAGGGAGGAGCCTCTGGGCAAGATAGATGATTGGGAGATCCTGAGATGATATTACTAAAATGCCTCCTTGGTTCCTCCTTTTGTTGTCCTCTGACCCATTACCCTGTGTTCATCTAGCATTTCAACCCAGGTCCTGTCTGCTTCCGCAGCTGCAGTATGGTCACATACTGTGATGTCCCATTATTATTCTTTCCCTGTTTTTCCCACTCCTTGTGTAGCAAACTGGCATGTTGCATTTCTCCTCTCTTGTTGCCAGCCTTGGTGTATTTGCAACTGAAGTTGCCCTGCATGTTTGGAAGGCACACGTGTGTGTGCATGTGCCTGCCTTGTTGAGAATGCAGTTGCGAATACAAGCGGTGTGAATCAGGAGATGTCGTGACTGAATTGTCTGGGAGAGGCTGGAAATAAGGAGTGAGTGGTAGTCCATGTAATATGACAGGACATGTAATTTAAGAACTGAAGATACAGAATTTCTTTTTAGGGGAAAGTAATCCGTCTACTTATAAATATATTAGCGTATCATATGGTTAGTACATGCCAGGAGCTTAAACTATTACCAAAAAAAAGTGTGATCATGTGGCCAACACCAAAAGTTCAGGAACAGCTATGCATGAGTACTGAGGAATGTACTCCCACAGAAAGCAACTGTATGTCAGATACTGTGTGGGGAGCGCATTCCTTAATCTGCAGATTTTCACACTTGTATTATTTTTACTTATTTATCCCCCACATGTGTGAATAAATTATATATTTACGTTATCAATTATTTTGTCAGAAGATAATACATTAAATGTTGATCAAAAAGCATAATCATAATTTAAAGTAATTTAAAAGAAGAATCGTTGGCTTTAAATCTGATTAATTGTAGTGTTTGAATGTGTTCAATTTGAATCCACATGGATTTACAGCTAATGGTAACTGAAATTAAGGCGTGTGAAAATTGATCTTTGTTTTTGATAAATGGCAGCTCTTTCAATCCAAGAATGAATTGAAAACTGATTTACAAGTAATGTGTTGGAAACTTGATCAAGCAATTGACTATCTGTAGCCTGATGATTTTCTAAGGTACAAATTTTTCAGCTTGCATGATATTGAAAATGGCATACAGAAGTAATCTTTAATTTAGTACTCTAATTGTTAACAAGACCTATTGAGCACATTAAAATTGTTGTTCAGGTGAAAAAAAGCTTTTATTGTAACTCTGTTTCACATTTATGTAAATTAAAGATCTTTGTCTTTTAGGAAAGAAACATTCTGTGCTTTGCCACTGGCAGAGATAAATACACGTATGTTTTTAAACTTTGAGAGAGACTTCTATAACTGTTTTAATGAAACATGAAAATGTAGCTATAGGACAATGGGTAATGGGTTTAAACTTAAACAGGGGAGATTCAGCTTAGGTTTAAGGAAGAAGCTCTTTACTGTGAGGGTGGAGAGGCACTGGAATGGGTTGCCCAAGGAAGTTGTGAATGTTCCATCCCTCGCGGTGTTCAAGGCCAGGTTGGACGGAGCCTTGGTGACATGGTTTAATGCGTGGTGTCCCTGCCCATGGCAGGGGGGTTGGAACTAGATGATCTTAAGGTCCTTTCCAACCCAAACCGTTCTATGATTCTCTGAAACCATTTCTGTTTCTTTAGTCTAAAAACCTAACTATTTTTAGAAATTCTTACTATGCAAATGTGTCTTTGAATGGCAGTTTAAAAGCGTGGTGATGTATTGATTTTTAGGAAGTTGTGGCAGTCTAAAGCTGTATACTGGCAGTTTACTCTTGAAAATTCGTTAGTTTTTATGAACACTTAAAAATAGATGAAATTGCAAGCTTCAAAATTGAAATATTGTGTAAAATAATATGTCCCATAATATAACCAAAATTAGCTTAAATTTCAATTTTATTTTTATTTAATGTAACTTCTGAAACAGACTAACTCTATGCAGTTTCACTTAAATCAACGTTGCCCAAGGAAGTTGTGAATGTTCCATCCCTCGCGGTGTTCAAGGCCAGGTTGGACGGAGCCTTGGTGACATGGTTTAATGCGTGGTGTCCCTGCCCATGGCAGGGGGGTTGGAACTAGATGATCTTAAGGTCCTTTCCAACCCAAACCGTTCTATGATTCTCTGAAACCATTTCTGTTTCTTTAGTCTAAAAACCTAACTATTTTTAGAAATTCTTACTATGCAAATGTGTCTTTGAATGGCAGTTTAAAAGCGTGGTGATGTATTGATTTTTAGGAAGTTGTGGCAGTCTAAAGCTGTATACTGGCAGTTTACTCTTGAAAATTCGTTAGTTTTTATGAACACTTAAAAATAGATGAAATTGCAAGCTTCAAAATTGAAATATTGTGTAAAATAATATGTCCCATAATATAACCAAAATTAGCTTAAATTTCAATTTTATTTTTATTTAATGTAACTTCTGAAACAGACTAACTCTATGCAGTTTCACTTAAATCAACAATAAGTTCTGTGGGTAAAACCCTGTCAGAATACATGACAACCATGCCAAAATACCACTACCGTTTTGCATCTTAGCATACTACCATATAGCTGGTCCATATATATTGGACTATATATAGTTATATATATGTTGGACTATATATGGTTTTATATATATATAGGGTTGTATATAGTCCAATGTAATGTGGATTTTTCGATCGGTCCTATATGAAGATCAACACTGGAGTCAGCAGTGCTGCTTTATAACATTACTAAGATTTTTACCAAAATACAGTTGAGCTAGTGCTGTTCACTGCTGCCATCATGTGTCACTTAATATATTGCATATACTTTTAAACAGCACTGGGTTGTACTTAAAAAAACAACTTTAGATTTATAAAGGCCCCACTACATTTGTCTTTAAACAAGAGACTAATAAGAAACATTATGGATAAACTTGAGTGCTTGAAACTGGAGGAAGATGTCATTCTATTCTGTTGGATTGAATAGATAAATTGAAAAATTTGCTGAAAAAAATACTTTCCTAATATTAAAATGACAAGCATGACTTAAAATAATGGTCTGTAATTGCCTCTCTAGTATGGTTCTGAAGTAGAAGGATATTTGAATTAAAAAAAAAAATTAAACTTTTTATGCCAACTTAGACAATTCTAACTGGGAATGTGATTATAAGTCATATTTTCTCTGTGGTTAGCAAAACAAGACTTAAGTGTTTGTAGTATAAGTATTCTAGTCTTTCCATTAAAACAGGAAGTTTTTCTTCTTGCAGTTGGATGAGTGATTTCAGCACAAGGCAAGCAGCGTTTCAGTTTACATCTGTGCATAATAATGGCTCAGAACTTCTGTTTTCTCTCAGAACCGTTACACAGCCACTGTGAAATGTCATTTCAGGTACTTTCAAATGAGATTTAAAGTATTATTTATCCTAGCTTTTCTAAAAGAAAATGACATTTCAAGGTGAACTAACTGATGAATTTTCTTTTGAAATGGATAATAAAGATGAAATAGTTACGCTGTTCTTTGGGTAGAAGATCCTGTTTCCTCCAGAAAGGAAACAAGAAACTTTGTCATTTGTTTTGATCACAGATCTACAGTATTGGCTATAACTTAATTTCCCAACCTTTTTTTTTTTCTCTTTAGATATTCGAATACCATTAATGTGGAAAGGCTCTGATCACTTCAGCAATAAAGAAAGTATGTAAGATGTAATAACTACTGTGATAAACAATTGCTTATGCCTGTAAATTTAAACTGGATGGGGAGGTCTATACTCATTTTAACCCCTTCTTGGACCTTTCAGTAGGTCCATGTTTTACTCTGTGTAGTTGCTTTTGAAGTTGTTGCTTGTGGCAAGCTGAGTTAGTTCCAAGTCCTGTGGTTTTGAATGTTTAGACCTTAGTCTTTAAAAAGTCCTCCTAAGGAGAAATTCCAGAGGAAGAAACAGACAAGCATTGCTATTAAGTAGATAGCTGAGAAACTTGTGATTAAACATGTTGTTCTATGTCTTGTTTACACTTGAGAGAGTATATTTGAGCCTGTTTCCAGTGAGAAATTTAAATGAAAGTTGTCTGTTGGTGTTAAATATACTATTGGATAGTTTTCAAGTACATGCATTTTGCTGTGTCATGGAGATTAACCCTCACTCTGTTCCAGCTGTCACCTGGCATTGATTTCACTTTGATTTTTCAATACAGTCAGAGGGGCGAAGCATGGCAAAATAGTCTAATCCTATATAGTATATCCATAAAATGATATAGGCTTTGGATCGAATACTGGAGCTTTTTTGCTTAATATCAGCTTTACTTAACAAAATTACATTTTCACTAACATTTCTGAAGTTGCTACCACAAACTATAACTGATTATCAGAAAAAGTAGCGCAGAGGCAGGCATTTTTTTCCTCTGTGAATATTGCTTTACTTTCACAGCAGCTTTGATAGTTCAATTATCATAAAATCCAGTGACGAAAATTTATGGTGGGAAGAACTGGAGGGCAATTCCTTACAGGTCAGAATTACCATTTCTTCTACTTTTGTTTACTGGAAGTATTTAGTATTCCAATGTGTAATATGGCTAATAAAACATTTCTTTGGCTTTCTCTAGAATCACAGCGCTATGCAGTTTTTTGTTTGTTCAGAATGGGAGCTGAGGTTTTTGATACAGAGGTGGCTATTGTGGATAAAGCAATAACAGATCTCTGTTTTGAAAATGTAACCATATTGTGAGTATAATTTACTTCTGTTGAATGAAGTATGAATATTGCTGTTTCTTTTGAAAGTGGATATGATTATGAGTAAGATTAGCTTAGGTCCACTAAGTTTTTCTGTGGACAAAGGAAACAGTAGAGGTTTCGTTAGTGTCAGTGGATAGTGGAAGCCCTTTTTGGAAGGTTGGTTTTCATGTACATAATGATGCTGATTGTGCCACTTGAACTGTACTACTTTTCATTTTTGCTATGCTGAAGCATTTTTCTTTATATGAAGGTATAAACAAACTTGTATCTCAAGGACAGAATTAATTTACTACTAGAACCTGAAATCATTATGAAAGTATAGGCATGGATGTTGCACCCAGTGTTTTAAGTATTATTCTGTACAGAAGGCTATGGTCTCTTTCCGCACTTCATGTTCTGTTACACCCATATGAACATGTGCTACAGCCACAGTCTTTATAGTTAAAGAATATGAAGAATACTAGACAGGAAATTATTCACTTATCTTTAAAAGTAAACTGGAAAAGAGTAGAAAGGTGTTCTTATAATTCTTTGTGGCTTTATGATTTTTAATAGAGTCCTGAGAGGTACTTAATTGCCCTCTCCCCCCTCCCCCCGCCTCTTTATTTTTTTATATTAGCAATTTAAATTTGGTCTCTTGAGAAAGATTGACTGGAAAACTAAAACTACTGAAAAATTTAAATAAAGATCCTGAAAACTGAGTGGTTGAGAGAAAATGGATCTTTAAATCAGATTTTCTTCAAAGATGAAACTTGACCATTAGAATTTTCTGTGAAATACTGCAACAAAAGCAGAAGAGACCCTCTAACTTGCCTGTATCCCCAAAATAAAGACAGACCTTTTATAAAAGCCTTTGGGATTATTTCATTATGGGCATGTGTGTAATGACATGATTTGTACCTGAAAGATGAGGTTAGGCTTCCAGTTTGATGAGTAAGCTTGAGAACAAGACAATCAATAGAAATGAAAAGAGAAAGCACAAGCTGTGGACAGAAGTTATGAATGACAATTTTTGTTGGTTGTAAGCAAGATAGGATTTTTTATAAATGTGTGAAGGGAATGGGGTGCAACTAAGGTATCTTTAAAACAGCTCAATCTGATTTAGGGCCATAGGCATGGATTGGTTTTCAATCGTGATTTTTTTATGTAACAGTAGAGGGCAGATTTAAGTGTGTTTGAATGTCGTGCCTGTGTATTTCCATAACATGGAGGTTTGTTTTGGTTTTTTTTTTTTTCCCCCCCAGTTTTTAACCTAAACGCTGAATTTCCTGTTTGCAGTTGTTTATGGTTTAATTATAACATCCATCTCATGACTTCAGCGCTGAGTTACTGCTGTGTACTCTAGTCTTTAATTCCATATTAATGTATGTCTTCGCCTGAATCTTATGACATTCCTTCGTTTGATTAGAAATACATGTTATTTAATATATATAGTAACAGCAGCATTCCTTGCCTGCATACTCTGTTTATTAACAAATGCTCTGAAATTTTCTCCTTCTCCCTTTCAGTGATGAAGCAAGACCAGATTTCCAGGTGAAGGTTGAAGTGTATAGTTGCTGTACAGAGGAGTCTTTATATGTAACAAATACACCTAAGAAACTAGCAAAGAAACTTAAAACATCCCTCAGCAAAGCTACAGGGAAGAAACTCAAAGCTTCACTGGAAGAAGACAGCACTGAATCCCTTTTGCCTCCTGACCCTGTAATCCAGTAAGACATACCTATTGATATTCTGGTTTTATTGTTTTTAAGATAGAAATAAGCCAAATGTATTGTAATCTTTTGGCAAATTGCCAATAAATTGTTTATTTCTGTACTTACGCAAGTGAAAAAAAGAAAATAATTACATTTTAAATAGGAAATGTGAAAGTGTGAATTCCAGTTATGTTGCTCAGCCTTGGGACCTGGTTCTGATCTTGAAACACAAAAGTAGGCTTTATTTTTCTGCTATACAGCTAAATAGCTGGTAAATTCACTGTTACTTGCAAACAAAAGGTATTTTTACCTTGACCTCTGGAGGAAATCAAGCTTGTACAATCTGTCTGGGTCCCTCTGTCTGTCTACCTCTCCTTTTTCCTTTGCCATTTACTCCCTCCCCGGTATTATTTTTGCACCTAGCCAATTTTACTCATACTTGACAGAGGTAGACATGTCTAGAATCTACAAGTTATGTCAAATAAAGAAATGTGGTTTGTAGGTGGGAGAACCCTTTCTTATATGCTCTCCCATAATGAAGCTGACCAAGTTCTTTTGTTGTGCCTGGGGTATATGCTGTGCACACAGGGGTCATTCCACTTGCTGGCTTTTCAGTAAAACTAGACTGTCAAACGCACTTTACAGTTACAAGCTGCTTAACAGGAGGTTTCTTAATTGACTTTAGCACCGAACATTTTAAAATGACTTACTGGTTTTCAGAGTTTGTAGAAATAAGTGCTGTTCCCAATAATTTACCTGTTTCCTTTTAAAAACGATCTGAAGTCTTTCATGCATTTTTTTAAAGCTAACTGCCCACCAATATTTCCTAGCTACTTGAATTTCATTAAGGTTTAAGCAGGCCAAGTACTTAAATTGTAAATACTAATGATATTTATTTTTTAAATTACTATTATTTTTTTAAAGAAAGCCATGTTTTCAAGGATTTACTTTTTTTTGGCAGCTGAACAATAAAGAATCGATGCCTAATTTTTGCCAGGTATTGAATGTAGTCTTACTCTACCTTCATATGTCTATTTGCCTGGATTTTAAAAGGAAACATTCAAGCATATTCTGTCTTTGTCAAACTGATATTACTGTATACTGATACTACTGTTTCAATCAAAAATACACATCCAAGAGATCTGCTCCACAGAGCAAAACAAATTTCATTGCTAACTTTCCAGTGTGTTCCACCTAACGACAATGTATCTTTCAATCTACATCATCTCAGGTCACTGTGCTTTCTACAAGCTCCAGTTGGGCGATGACACTCTATCATTACAGTTTGCTTCAGATGATATAACCACTACCTTATTTTCTGGCCATACTTGCTAGAATATAGATTGCCTGTCTTTTAAGGAAGAAGTATCAGTAGATAATCTAAATAGTTGCCTCTTCTCTTTTGTTTTGCTTTTGGTTTCTTGATTGTAATTGCATTTTGCTTTCGTTCATCTTGAAGTTTGTTGTTTCTGCTGTAAATAATCATGTCACAGTGACTGTTACTTGTTTAACAAAGTTAAATGAACAGTGATGTATCTATTGATGGCTTTGCTAGGTGATTAAAAAATTCTTGAAAAGAAATGTTATTATAGGTAGAAAATAAGTTGTCAATTTTTTAAATTTTTTTTTAAGTCTTTCCTTAGGATTCATATTAGTAAGAGCTTGGTATATAGCCCTTATAAAAGTGAAGAGACTGGGAGATTACAGGAGATCTTTCAAGTATTCCCAGAGTGCTTTACTAGTCCAGCAGGTGAAATTCAACTGCCACAAAAAAGAACTTTTTGTATTATGTTAAGACTTTTTCTCAGTAGATTCCATTTGTACAGGCATTTTTCTTTTCAGAGCACACGTGGGTGAAGTTCTCCATTTTCCAAAAACTTTGTGATCCCTCTGTGTGAAATTTCCTAGCTTAGAAATCTCCCTGATTAGTGGAGAAACTGTCAGCCTTGTAACTTCTTGTAAAAGCTTAGTGACAAAGTGTTTTGAATGCTTGCTTAGGTTGGTTAGCTTCCATTATACTAATATTTTCTCTACTGTTAATTATCTGTCTTTTAATTTCTATCTGATTCAACAGTCTGTTGCCTGTTGCCTGCTTATTTTTTCTATTCTAGCCTTTTTTTTTTTTTTTTTCTTTTACATTTGTCGTAGTGAAGTTATACTATTGAATTTCTGATTAACTAGGTTGATCTCTGGATAAATCATTGGAGAGACTCCATGAAGTGCATGTTTATTCACTTCCAGAATGGGCCTCCACATAGACTTGTTGTTACTGCCTTTTATGTATTGTCCTCCACTGGGCTGGAGGCATGATTTTGGTGTCTGTTTGAATTGGCAAATTCATAGTGATATTTTGCTAGAAGTAGATAGTCTATTCTAATGGCCTCACTTTTACAGTTGGGTTCTTTCTAGTACCTGAAGGTTATCTTTGTTTTTGCCATGTATTATTTAAGATCTGATAGAAAGGTGAGCATATTAGACTTTTTTTTTTTTAAATCCTTCTCTGTGTGTATCTGGATGAGTGAACTAACATTGGGATTTCTAATATTGGGGCTAATATTCTGGAATCTGAGGCACGTTAGTACACACTGATAGAAAGGGTGATATAGTTATACCTTCCCATGCCAGTGTCTGTGGGGCAACTTTGGTGCTTCGGTCAGATTTAACAATGTGCCTTTGCCACAGGCATGTTGTGGAGATAAACTGTTTTTTTTTCTGTAATAAAGTTATTACGTGGAAGAATACTATAGATTTGCAAAGCACTGAATGAGATGTAGCAGGCAGATTATTCTTTGTTATACAGATTTACTGCCATTTAAGGCAGTTAGCTGATTCTGTGAAGTGTAGAGGCAAACCATAGTCAACATCCTGAGTAGCCAGTTAAATCTGAAAAATATTTACAAACGAAACTTTTCTAAATTCTATTGCAGCTGGCTGAAAGGAGTGGCTTATATTTTAGAATGAAAATGTTAGTGTGAAGCATATTTTAAAAGTGAAGTAGATATTTTTTTTGGCAGGGTTATTGTGGTAATTAGTCATGGTTTAGGAAAAAAGTAAGTTTAAAGTCAGCACAAGTTTTATTTGTGAAAAGAAACTGAACTTTTTGATATAATTTAAACAGAATAGCAATGTATTGCTCAACTGCATGGCAAAACATAATCAGCAGAGAATCTTTTGTTAGTGAACAGTCTAGCAGGGAATATATACAAATGCTGATGAGACTTCATTCAGGTTGCTCTCTTGAAATGTTTCACAGTAGTGTTTTTTCACTCAATGTTATATCATATTTAATTTTCTCTTTCTTCCCTTGAGATAGATGTGTAACAGATCTGCCTGCTAACAAACTTGCTACTTTCCTTCTCTTTCTTTCATTAGGGTTAGGTAGGCGTCTGCCTTGTTTCTCTGAAGAGCCAAATGTGCTATTAGGAAGAATAACATTTGAAAAATATTGCAGTAGAAAACTATTTTTTTAGTCATGTTAGTGCAGTGGTGTCTTACCTTTTATACCGCTAAGCTGTCTTATGCTGTACTGAGGATACCTTGAGGATCTTATGCTAGATCCTGTTAGGGAGAGTAGTTAGTAACTTTGAGGGCTTTGTTTGTTTGTGAATTTTGTTCAAACTGCCATTAGCTGGGTAGAATTCTTACTGCATTCCTGGACTGTAAATCTGTTACTTGATGTGATGAGTATTTGGGGGAAGAGGTTAAACGTGTACCAAATTTATACTAGTTTATTCCAAGAATTGCATTCCACGTGGACTGTGCTGAATTTTAAATGTGCTTTTTTTTTTAATTTTTTTTCCCCCCCAGGCAAAATCCAAACCAAAGATATAATATTCTGAAACCTGTAAGCACAAGTGAAAGAGTCCTTTATGCTACAAAACTGGCTGTAGGACTTATGCACAGATTTCTGCATGCAGAGAAACAAGCTATTAGCTACTATTAGAAAATGCATATATAAACAAACTTCTATATAGTCTACACAGGCAAAGTAGAAGAGCATAGCAACAACATGGAGGAGCAGTATAAAGCCTTTTAATTTTTAACCTGTATTTTCAGATAAAGTTTACATCATCCATTGTTCTATGAACTATAGCAGTTTTTGAACCTATTGCCAAATCTACTTGCTTTAGGCCTAAGAATAAAAGCTGTAAAGCTATTAAAAGTTACTTGGTGTCTGACTAGAGGAGGGAGATGCTTTTAGCATCCTCGGGGTGCAGAGAGGTTGGATAGCACAGCTTTTAAACCTGGGTTTGGCAGCCCAGGTCAGAAGTATCCTGGCAGACAGGTCCAAGAGAAGGCTATGGAAAGAGCCACCTGATGGAGCCTTGTGGCACTGGGCTAGAAGTTGTGAAGTGGGAGGTAACTAAAGGTATGCACTGAGTGGAGGTAGGAGACAAGCTTATAGGAAGCAGATGAACAGACTGTGGGGCAGCGTTGGTTTACGAGGAAAACCAGAGATAAGGGAGTTCTGTGGAAGAGGTTTTGGGGGGTGGTAGTCTATGGTCACTGACAGGTGCTGCCATGCACCTTGGCATTCCCTAGTACCCAAATGTGTTACCTCAGGAATGTCTAGACTCCCTTTAATTACTGCCTGAGCAACATGAAGCAGAAATGTCTTAAATGTGCCTTTTCTTTAACATTTAGTGGAGCAAAATACAGTATGCTAGCATATGCCACTTTGGGGCTGGAGAGTGCTGAGGACAATTTTAGGACCCACAACCTTACTATTACAGGAAATGGTAAGTACATGTGGTACCGATTTAAAGAAAAAAATAGTAACTTTTTGCATTTCTCTCTCTTGTAAACTAAAGGCTGAAAGAGATTATTTTTCTTGCTATTTAATATAGAACAACTATAATAAAATATTTAATGGCTCTAAAACAGGCATTTGTACACAGCTGAATAAACTATAAGTTGAATAAGATTTCATGTCCAGATGAAAATTTAAATCTTTTGGGAGTTTATTCTGTCATTTGCATCTTGGTCTTACGTGAGTTGTAGCTATATACAAATTATTTCCCCTTCCTCACAACCAAGGAAGGGTATCAGAATGAAAAAAGCTTTTTTTCCCTCTCTAATCAGGAAGAAAGTAGAAAAATAGCTTCAGTTTCAGCTAGGTTGTTTCATGCCCAAATTTAGCACAGGATGTAAGCATGTATGCTTGCATTTTGTGTTGGTCACTGTACAGCTCTGGTACAGCACAAGTTGGCAGCAGTCAAACTAACTGCTAACACAGGGACTATGTTTATGCTGCAACTGAAGTTAATGATTTAAGTAGCAAGAGTACTGTTTTTGATACTTTGTCCGTTATTTTCTGAAAGGATGGCCCCTCCCATAAGCCACTGTCTAATTGTTAACTTCAGACATGGGACTTTCACTGTATTTCACTGTAGCTTCTGGGAACTTTATCTTTTACTTGGGTAAACTTGACCTCAAAGAGAATTTCATTCTTTACACTGCACTAATTCTCAATAAGTAGAGATTTGAAGATTTATAGGGCATTTGTTTCTTGAAGGGTTGGATGAATAATTCTGAGTATCTTTGTAACCCTTTATTAGCACTTTTTACTCCTTCTTCAAATTCCTTTTTTTGTCATTAATTTACATAACTTAGTTTGGTGAGAAATTACATGCCTGGAAATTTTGGTTCATTATAAGCATTTCTAAAACATGGCCAAAGAGAGTAGTATCAATGGAACGTTGTATTACCTACTAATTACAGAAGAGAGAGCCTATTGCATAGCAGAGCTGAGTGAGGAGGGATGTTGTAATTCATTAGAAAATCCTTGGAATCCTAAATGCTCTTCTGGTGCTGAAGACAGAAGTAGATACAAATTCTAAGCCTTAATTAAACAATCTGCAGCAAAGTGTTCATGTTTAAATGCAGCTGTGCACTGCGATGGGATGGGCTCAGGGATCCTAATTAGATGAGGTGGCCAGTGGACTTAACTTTCAAAATGTTTCTAGCTGTGAAATGAGATTTAGAGCTATATTTTACGTAAGAACAACTTGTTCTTGTAGAATAATATCTCATTTTTATATGATTTTTTTTTAAATTAAAAAAATTGGATTAGACTAAACCTGATTTTTAGTTTTCAGTTACAGGATGAAGACTTTCTTTAAATATAAAAAAATGCTTTTTTACATTCATGACCTTAATGTAAAAATGGATAAAGTCAAATTATATACTTAGGGCAAATGCTTGGAACTGAGCATTGTCTTTCTTTTGCCTGGTCTTTTCCTCTAGAGGAATCCTCTTTTTGGCTACCCCTGTACGGAAACATGTGTTGCCGTTTAGTGGCTCAGCCTTCCTGCATGGCTAGCGATATGATGGCAGGTTTTCTTAATCAACAGGTAAGAAGACCTTGCTTGTGTTTACATCCTCTTCTGTTAATAGCTGTCACTAAGAGTCAATTGTTAAAATGTTTGCTTTTACCTGAAGTGGTTTCTTGAGAACTGTTATTTTTCATGTGTCCTATCTAGACCAAGGGGAAAACTTATCTCAAAGCACTGTTCACAAACAGTATCTTCAGTGCCTAAGTGTAAAGAAATAGATGTTTCCTTGGCATGCTTGTCAGTAAAATTATTTAGGCTGTTATATAAAGATCAATTATAGTAGTTGTTTCAGAATTGATTTAGGTTTCAGAATTAGGCTTAGGACTGATAGCAACAGTCCTAAGAAACTTATGGCTCTCATCCTTGTAACTACCCCTCATTGTGCTAGCACAAGAGTTCATATCACAGCATGGGATAATCTGACTGGTGAACTGAGCGGTATTTAAACTCATCCCTTCAAAAATTATTCATCTGAACTCAGTTTACTTCTCTATTTTGGTTCATTGCACAACTACGCAAACGAGAAGGTGATAGTGGAGGGCCAGAGGGGCTGGGTCATTTGTCAGGAGTGCTGAATTACAGGCTCTAAGGTTATTGTGAAACTATAGTACATTTATGAAAGCTGTTCATAAAATTCATTTGAGAAAGTAGAAATTCTAGACAAATGTCTTTGACATTTGTTGAATGTACTGTGTATTTCCAAAGTGGGATACTCATTTATCTTACTGTGTAATTGCTATAGGTAATAAAAGGTGGTTTCTTTCTTAAAGTAGACACCAGTTCTAGATTTCATTCCATGTGAACCCAGAAATTCGGTATTGTTAGTGTCACATGGCAATAATTCTGCAAAAACTGTAAACCACTAAAAGATATTTAAAGCATTGCTAACATGTCAAAAATCAGTGACATGTTCTGCAACAGAAAGTTTTTGTTTTAGGAAAGAATTAGGTGTTGCTAAGTTTTATTCACACAGGGTTGATCTGAACCTTATAAAATGCTTTTAATTTGTAGTTTATGTTTGGCAGTTTCTGACTATTTATTCCTCTTAGCAAATGATAGGAAGTCTAACTAGCTGGAGGAGGCTGTATTGTGTACTAAGAGGTGGAAAACTCTTTTGTTATAACTCTCCAGAAGAAATTGAGGCTAAATTGGATCCAGCATTGACAGTTCCCATCAACAAGGTAAAATTTGTTTTATGGGGCTTTTTATTTTGTTTGGGTTTTGTTTATTTTGGGGGAGGTTGGTTTGTTTTTTTTGGTTTGGTTTGGTTTGTTTTTTTTGGGGGGGGGTGTGTGTCTATTTTCAGGCATACTGTCATTTGGGCTCTAAGCTGCTGGTATGCAGAATGCTTTATAGGTAGCATGTGGGTAGGATTATGCCTCAGTGAAATTTGCAGTCACTGAACTTTTTAGCAAGTATATTACATTTCTTATCTGAGCACTTAAGTTCTTTCTATTGTATTAGACTGGTTAACAAAAAGGTAAAAAAGAGAATGTTTTTCTTTAGGAAAAGTGTTAACTTCTTATATGACAGTCCGTAAGACAGTCCTTGGAAATGTATTGCCTATAGACGCCTAGCAAAGCTCTGGTAGAATTTTGTCCTCAGCAAGGTGGAATTTTAACAAAAGCTTTTTTTTTTTTTTTTTTTTTTTTTTTTTTTTTTGTGTCATTTGGCCACAGTCTTAATTAGAAGGAGAGCTGGAAAATTGTTCAAAATATGTTGTGCCTTAAAATAAGCTGCTTTTCTTAATAGTGTTTTTTTTATAAGGCTCAATAACTTGGAAGTTCTGCTCTCTAGGATGACATTATTGCTGCTTTTCATGCCCTGGTTAGAAAGGCTAAGTTTAAAACGCAAAGTTAAAATGTTAATTACTATTTGGTTAAAGAAGCATTAAGTATTTAATTAGAAGTAATGTTTAAGTGTTCAAGGTAGGAATGCTATTGGAAGGACCTTTTAGAGTGGTGAGCATTAGAGTGAACAGATGCTTTCAAAAAATGGTTTTGGTGCAGTTGTCAAGAGTTTAAATCCCTTAGCTCATCCTTATGTGATATTATGTTATTTGCAATTGACATATCTGGATTCATCTTACATAAGTAGACAGACACATTTGGAAACTGTGTTAAGCATAGGTCGATCTGGATTCTACTGCTGTACTACTGTGGATGCTTGATGCCAACACTAATTCTGAAAGAAACATTCCTCTTGTCCAGTCACTTGTTAATGCTACTGCACTGCTTTATATGCAGGGCAGGCATTAGGGCAGCTAGCTGATGAATTGAAGAAGGGAACTGGTGTGGGTTAAAATTAGCTCATTTTGGGAGCAGGAGGAGGGTTAGCTTCAGTTTACTTTAGCCAGTTCGCTACATGGCTAGTGAACTGGCTAGTGAGCCATGTTTGGTACAAGAAAGGGGCTACGCTACAACTGGGAATGCATAGGGACATATATAATAAAGAACTGTTTCTTACAACAGCAATATCAGCTTTTGGTGGCTTTAATATTTCTGAAAAATATGACTGTATTCTTACCTAGAGTGGGACTTGTATATACACCTAACATTTAAACTAGGTGTAACAATGTCACCTGTTTGTGTTAGGACTTCTTTTTTAATGTGCTAAGGTTCAAATTTATTCCTTGAATAAAAACACCATTCTGCTAGTGCTGTATCTAGTAATAAAGTAACTTTTTCTTCCAATTGTTTATGCATTTACATTAATTATATGTCTGTCTGTCACTGTAGTTATACTATTTAAGCAGGTTTACTTGCATACATCTTTAGTCACTTTTAATTGCACTACTCTGCCTTTGCCATAATTCTGTTTTCCAGCTGCTCACAATACGAGTTGAGAAATGGTAAACTTTAATAAATTATAGAATTATTAAATCCATATTCTAAAATGTGACAGTAATTATTTAAAAAAAGTATCAGGCTGCCTCGTATTTACCTTTGTATTGTCTGGTTTGGTCAATATCCTAGTTTTGCTTTTCCTTTTAAAACATCCATATTCTACTGAGGTATTTTGCTCCCTCCAAGTTACCAATATGCTCAGAACTTAAAATCCAGCTTAATAAGCCTTTTCCTTGAAATTATCCATATGTTTGCAGAGTATCCTTAAAGCTAACATGTAGAAGGTACAAAAATAATGTATCTTACATCATTTTACAGAAATGTCAGACTGTTGGAGAATATGACTGCAAATCTTTCTTCAATTTAAATTAAACCAGAGGGGGGAAAAATAATCAATTTAAATGTTTGGATACTTTACTACTTAAACAGTTTCTCTTGAAATTAACTTAATGTCTGCTGATATTTTTTTGACTCCTTTGTTATGAAATTTCTCTTATGAATTAAATGAAGGCAGACTAACAGTATGCACTTGTCTGTTATGTGTTGTTATAGAAACAGCAATTTCAAAATTAAAGTTGAGCTTGAACATCAACTCTAGATATTTTAACTAAAATCTCTTCAGATTGCATATGTGGCATTTTCATCTGTAATGTGGAGCTGATCCTTTACATGTAATTGAAAGATACTTTCTGAAAAGTAATGAAATCGTCTGGATTTATGAGAAACTCTCAGGAAAATATTCACACTGATAGCCTTATTTCCCATTCCTTTTGAATAGAGACTTGAAGAAGCCATTAAGACCAGCAAAGTCGTTACTTCAACTTCAGATGACTTCACTGCTACTGCTCTTGAGCAAGAATGGTTCTGCAGTTCCTATTATTCAAGTGTTACTATTATTGTTCCAGCTAAATGTGATTATAAAATATTATATTGCACAACTAAGTAGGAAAAGAGAAATTATATTTTCTGTAGCAAAGAAAACTTGCTGGAATCTAATTTGAGCAAGAAATATTCCTTGTGGGCCAGTTCCTGAAATTTTTTCAAGTTTTCTTTAGTTTGAAATGAATAGTAAAGGCCTTGCCTACACCTGATAGCTTAGCAAACAGGTGTGAGTGACAGCATCTCACGTTAGTGGCTCAGTATTTGGAATACATATTCTATTGTATCCTGGTCATAGAGCCTAAACTTTTTTTTTTTTTGTGTGTGCTGTGTATGCCTGAAGCTTGAGGAATTCTGGGATGTCATTTCAAATTATCATGGGCTTGTGATTTCCTTCCTGGCATATTTTGCCAGTGCAGTCTCTGCTGTGGTGCCATGCAGTGCAGCAGGCCCAGAGCTATATGTGTTCATGCTAATTGTTAAGGTCAACAGGATGAGAAACAGCAAATATTTGCAGCTGTGAGCTCAGGGTTCATAGGCTGATTGCTAAACAGTGTAGCAGGAGTGAAAGGGCAAAATCAAGATGGTATTTCAGCTTGGAAAATATAAGGCTTGGGGGATACCTTAGTGCAGCCTTTGAATACCTTAAGGGGGGCCTACAAGGAATCTGGAGAGAGACTTTTTACAAGGACTATGTAGTGATTGGACAAGGGGAATGGCTTTAAGATGAAAGAGAGTAGATAGAAATTAGGTATTAGGAAGTAATTCTTTACTGTGAGGGAGGTTGCCCAGAAAAGTTGTGGCTGCCCCATCCCTGGCAGTGTTCAAGGCCAGGCTGGATGAAGCTGGGAGCAACCTGGGCTAGCAGAAGATGTCCCTGCCCATGGCAGGGGGTTAGAACTAGATGGTCTTTAAGGTCCCTTCCAACCCAAACCATTCTATGATTCCTGCAAACTGTTACCTTGAATGACAGTTCTTGTTGGAACATCTGTTCCAGGCTAGATGAGGTACAGGAGGTTGTTGGAAAGGGTAGCGATGGCTGCAGCAGTGTAACTTCTAGACAACCAGGGAATTCAGTCTTGGACTGGGGTGGAAGTAGATTGTTTTGAGTTCTTGACCATGTGAACATTTAGGGAGCCAGCAAAGTGAACAATATTCTCTGTGTGCATGAGGGATCTCCAGCAATGGTGAAATGAGAGCAGACCTGAGAATATCTATGTTCTCTGTAGTAAAGACTGTCCCACTGGTTGGCTTCAACAAGCCTTCATACATGTGAAAATAATTTGGAAAAGCAGAGACTAGTTAAATGTCTCCAAATGTCTGGTATCTTGCATCATATTGCTCAATTTAGTCTTGCAGTTGCTTGAAAGACGTTGTGAATGTGGGCAGGAGAAGCAGATATAATAACCAGATCCCACACGGTGGACCTTATAACACACATGCTCAAATTGAGTGGTTTGGAAACTATGTGTTATGGCTCCATGGTGCTCCACAGGGTGCTGGTTGGTCATATAATGCCATCTCCTCCTGCTTTTTAGCTGTTGCGTTGTACCTAAGATAGCTAAAACAACATAGAAATCCTAATGTTGCTTTTCCGTATTATACTTACACATACTTACCATCCAGTGGCCACAAGTTCACAGAGCAATGAAGATGAAAGGAGGAAATATTCATAGCTGATAGGGCAAATCCACTCTTGTGCATTAATGTGTTTGAAAGCCAATAATTTTAAATCTAACTGAATTTCCCTGCTTGCCTAAAATAGACCCCATGGAAATTATTAACATTACAGCAGAAACCAACACATGAACAGATTATATTTTGTTCCTGGTGTTGTGTTGTTATTTCTTGGCTTATTTTTTGGCACTAAAAACGTGAAGGAAGCTTGTTATATGTGATTTGATTTGTTTAATCTTACAATAAATACACAGATCTGGATCTTGGGTTATTCAGTATTTTTCTCAAGAACTGTAGTTTGTTTTGATGTCTTAGAATGACCTTTATAACCATTGCTCCTCAGTGTGTCAGGATTGGCTTAGTAGGAAAGTGTTGCATCTCAACAATACAAAAGTGTCCTCTCTCTCTCTGGTTAAGTTTTGTTTTGGGTGTGGTGTTTTTTGTTTTGTGGTTAAGTGGAACTGGACATGTAGTGTAATTCATCCAAGCTTGGTAAATTCATCAGCCCATTACTGTAATGGCATCTTGTATCACTCCTTAAATATTCAAGCATCAGATATAGATCGTTGCTTGAGGATTTATCTCGTTTGAATAATACCATAGTTGTGGGATAAAAAATGCAGCAAATATCATTAAATAAACTTGTGTGTATGGTATGCTTGAAGTTTTTACCTGTCAAATGTTAATCTATTTGATTTAATTTTTTTGCTGGTATCTATGGTTACCTGAGTTAATGGGATATGGAGCACTTATGGATGAATTACTTCATCTCCTATTTTTAGACAGAAGAATTTAAATGAGCATATCCATCAGATATGCTACAAGCAGCTGTTGGTATTTCAAATGGTTACTTCAGTAATGCATTTAAAATCTGAGGATTGTTCTGTAGAATGATTTTTTGGTTTTCTAAGTATCAGAACTAGACTCATCCCCTGGGGATCCCATGTGTAAACTTAATTTCTGTAGGTGTATGTTTAACATCTTTAGCAGATGTTTGACATTTAGTTGAATCGTGTAAAAAGGAACGTGGTTGATCTGTCCCCACTGTATTTTGAGGAATGCCTGAAGCTACCTTTAGGGTCAGATTCACTGTCCTTCCAGACAGGAGATGTTTGAACAAAGCCCTGGCTGTGGTTGTTGGCTTCCTTCAAAACCTGGGGCACTGCCCATGCCAGGGGACACCCTTGTGCATCAGGAGGGTGCTGTGTGGTCTTAACATGTATTAGGCAGCCTCATGTCCTGCCAGGCTTCAGGGCTGGCCAGATGTAGGGTGCTAGTTGGCTCCTTGGCGCTGAAACTCATCATCCCAATAGGATTTGGGATTATTCTGCTCTTCTGGGTATGCCAAAAATCCTTTTAAGGGCTGTGTTGTAATAGGCCATTGCTTGTTCAGCCAGGTTGAATTGTATATGCAAAGATATTCCCAGGGTTTCTGCATTTACTTTTATAAATAAAGTAACATTAATTATTTTAATTTGTCCATCAGCTTGTGATGAGCAACCATGTTGACTGGTTGTCTTCTGGTAACTTTTTCATTTGTGTTTTACCAGACTTTTACCAAAATGTTTCAGTATTTTGTATATGAGTGGTGGTTTTTGTTTTTTTTTTTTCCCCCAGTTGAGGAATCTTTTTTATATTTGTAGCAATATCATTACAAAGAAACTAGATACTACAAAAAAGCCACTGAATCTAGTCTAGATGATAAAAATCAAATGAACTACATTCCCAAACAGAAGGGGAAACCTTGGCTGTAACAGTGCTGCTGTGTAACCTGAAAGTCTTTCTAACATTAGCTGAAGAAATTTGATAGACCTGTAATATACTTCTCATATGTATATTTTTTTTTAAATTGCTTCTGTGTAGCTCTCCCTAGTTAAGGTGTAACAAAAATGTCTATTTTGAAATGACAAATAGGATTTTTCTATATTATAGCAAAATGTTTTTTTCATACTGGAGATTTGTTCTATCAGAACTGCATGGATAATTGCTACAAATGCTTCATTAAATGTGGATTAGATAAGTTTATATTTAACTTTCCCATCACTATAATACGAGCCCTGAATGTCCTTATTCGCCAAGAGGAACAGAAAATAATACAAGTTTAGAATACACTGCGTAATCAGTGGCCCACAGAAGTACAGTAGGACCTAAATAGTGGCTGTCCAGCTGAAGAGTTTGGAGAAGAGGAGCTACTTGCTTTTATTTTAGATTCACTAAACTACTGTGGAGAAAAATGAGCACTTTGAGATGAGCTGGTGAAGGCAGGGGGAGGAGGAACATAAAATGTACGTTATAAACTAAACAGCAATAATTGTGCTTCATTCCCTTATTTTTCATGTTTTATGCCATTTTAATAGTTTTATGGGAAAATATTTTCATAAGTGGTTCCTGACATCAGTTTTGGGGGGTGGTTTTTTTGGTTGGTTGTTTTGGAAATTAATACGGATTAGATGAAAAGACAGATTATACATCCCTTACAGTGCCATTGGCCTTAAGGTGATACCAGTGTGGAGCTGAAGCAATAACTCATTAATCACAGTTTGTTGTTCCTAGGAAACCAGAATTCGAGCTGTGGATAAGGACTCCAAGAGAAGGACCAATAATTTCTCTGTTATCAACCCTGTGTCTGGAGAGGCTGTGACGCAACTTTTTGCTCCTGACAGCAGGGATGAACTTCATAAGTGGATGGAGGCTTTCTGGCAGCATTTTTATGACCTAAGTAAGTAAGCAGACAGTGCTGGCAGTGTGCCCTCCAAGCAGGCTGTTATGTAACATCAAAGGGATCTTTGAACAATTTGAATTGAAACTGCTTCATAAGCCTTTGTTTGCAATGATGAGAAGAAAAATCTTCTCTGGGGTAATATTGGGTGGTGGTCTAAGGCGTTGGAACGCAAATATTTGACTAACCAAAGTCCACATGTTTGGTCTGAGTTTTTGCAGCCACACGCCAGTCCAGTCATGTACATACATGCTTCTTGAACCTGCTAAAATCTGTACATGAGGCTTTGTAATAGGTGATATGAATGAGATGAGAAGTTGATACCCTGACTGTTTGGCTAACCTCTGGAGCAACACTCTCCTTTCATGAGAGAAGAAACTCATTTATTGGTGTAAACCAGTGAAATGGTATAGACTAGTATACTGTGTTGCTTGTTTAACTCCAAATATTAATTACAAGAACTATATAGATTAGTTCCTCTCTTTTTCCTCTGCTTTAGTAGTTTGACTTGCAGGTTTATTGAGAGTAGAGAACAAGTTTCAGTTATTGTGCCGACATTGACGGGTATAGTTGGTTCCTGATAGTCATTTTTATCAGGTCAAAAAGCAGAACCAGGTCAATGAATGAAATATTACTCGTTAGTCAGAGGCCACACCAGTAAAATCAGTGAATTGAGCTTGTGAAAACTTGGTATTGTAGTTGTATTTCTAGTCCTTCTTAGCTCTGATTTACGGTGAGAAAAAGCTCTATCAATTAAAGAAACACACCAAGCAAAAACTAGGGCATCATCTTTAAATTAGCTATAGAGTGGGGTAAAAGAACTACTTCTTATTCATCATAGATAGAATACCCATGGATTTTTTGAGACATTTTCCTTAGATTCAGAAAAAAATGGGTCACTTGGCATTTAAATGCCTTTTTTCTTCCCTGCTTCTAAAATTCCCTTAAAATTAATGTGCTCAGAAAACTTGGAATGATTGGTATGAACAAAGTAATTTTACCATGTCTTGTTTTCCTTAAGGTCAAAATCTATTAATAGAAAAAGAGGTTTCCTTGTCTGCTAACGGATAAAAGGCAAGTTATCCTCTATTAAAGACAGAACGTTCCTTTACTAGAACATTGTAACATGGTTGTATAACATTCAGCTTGCAGTATATTGGAGTTTGTCCCCAAAAACTTCATGAAGCTTTTTTTTTTATTGGTGAATTTATACCATGTGTGGGGATTTGAAAGCAAATTATGATATTTAACCCCCATAGTATAACAGTACTGCTAGAATGCTTAAATTAGAGGTAGACCTTTGTGCTAAGAGAGTGAGTACAGAATTGAAAATAAAAATGGATCCTTAGCATTTCTGCTAAACAAAAGTACATGCCTACTGATTAGCATTGCATTGGAGACAGTTTCCTAACACAACCTAATAACATCAATTTTTTTCAAGCTGAAGTGTTTAAGTTCCAGTCATTGTTCTTTTTTCTCTCTCAGGCCAGTGGAAACATTGTTGTGAAGAACTTATGAAAATCGAGATTATGTCACCACGGAAACCACCTTTGTTCTTGACAAAAGAAGCGACCTCCGTCTACCATGATATGAGTAAGTGGGATTTGTCTTTTCGAGTTGCAGGGTAACAGAAACAACATTGTCTGTATTCAGATGGCTTCTAGTGTTGATGTTGAAACACTGAGTTTTTCAAGGACAGTTCAGACAATGAGAGAGCAACAGAATTGCATACCAAGGAGTACATAATAAATCTGAATTTGAAATAGCACAAATAATGAATACGTTCTTATACCTTCAGCCAAAAAATCTGTAATCTGAACTATAACTAGGGAGCCCTGAACACATTTAAAGAAGGCATTGCTAGGAATAAACACTCATTGTAAGAGCTCAAGAAACATAAAGGTGAAATAGTCCAGTCTGCAAACTAATAATGTCTTTAACTAGTTGCATGAAATTAACCTGCTGTTCTTAAAGCTATTTAAAGGCTTACTTAACAGAACTTACCAGATTTTTTGGTCTTTGGTAATGATGTTGGAAAACACACTTGGAAAATCTAGCTAGCATGTATTTGAGACTTGTATTTTTACACAGCAAAATGATATGCAGCAGGATTATTTTAATAGTTTCATTACAGAAATAATATTTACAGACTAGAAAAAGTAGGTCACTTTGTTTTAGTGGATCTGATACAGTATTGGCTGAGAAACACTGTATAACTATAAATGCCTGACTGCTTGCTGCTTAAGATTGGAACTGTGAAGATGCTCAAAATGCCATGTGGGTCATTGAGTTACTGTGCATCAGAGCAATCAAGAGAGTCCTATCTAAGCTATGAATGCAGAGCAGAATAGCAGTAAATCACCTATATAGAAATTTTACAAAGGTAACGTGGTAGCATAATTCTACTGACACTCAAGAATATCAGTGAGGAGCAGCACGCATACTCTGTTTCACTCTTAATATACTAATTTTCCTGCATATTTACGTTACTGAAAGTCTGCCTGTACTTGGCGTTAGTGAGGGTGTGCCTCGAATACTGTGTTTGGTTTTGGGCCCGCCACTACAAGAAAGACATCGAGGTGCTGGAGTGGGCCCAAAGAAGGACAGCAAAGCTGGTGAAGGGTCTGGAGCACACATGTTATCAGGAATGGCTAAGATAACGAGGGTTGTTCAGTCTGGAGGAAAGGAGGCTGAATAGAGACCTTGTTGCTCTCTACAACTACCAGGAAGGAGGTTGTAGCAAGGTGAGGCTCAGTCTTTTCTCCCAGGTGAGAAGTGACAGGATAAGAGGAAATGGCCTCAAGTTGTGCCAGGGGAGGTTTAGACTAGGTATTAGGAAAATTTTCTTCACTGAAAGGGCTGCCCAGGGAAGGGGTGGAGCCACTGTCCCTGGAAATGTTCAAAACCCATGTAGATGTGGGACTTAGGGGTGTGGTTTAGTGGTGGATTGGACAGTGGCAGATGAATGGTTGGACTTGATTATCATAAAGGTCTTTTCCCGTCTAAATGATTCTGTAGGTAAAACCCCGTGTTTCAAAATGTGCTGAAAATTGTTAACCTGTGGCCTGCAATAGAAAAGATACTGTCACTGTTTGAGGCTAGTATTACTGCAGTGTACCTAGAAAATTCAATATAATGGATAAGAAATGGGGCAAGACAGTCTTAAAGCACTTAAAGAATAATTATATATGTGAAGATAGCCCATTTTCTGCAGGCTGGAAAAACAAAAATATTTAGTCATAGACTTTTTCATAGGCCTTCTGTGAAATGAAAATTTCAAAGCGCTATACAACAAAATATGATTAATATCTAATACATACAGGTTTTCTAATAGCACACTATTTTTTCTACTTTTACTTGGAAAGAAATATCAATGCCCTACACTGTTGCCTGAATGCCAGCTGTCATGAAAACAGTTCCCTCCTGTCACCTCAGAGCAATCTTGGAGCATATGTAATTTTTTCCATTTCATCCATTAATACTCTTAATAGTAGTCAGGACTTCACAAGACATAGTTAATACAGTTTTGTATTCTGAATAGTAATGATGAAATAGGTAGCAGTAAAATCATTGGTAGCATTTTAATCTGAGTTAATTTCTGTCCCTTAAAATTGCAGGCATTGATTCTCCAGTGAAACATGAGGGCTTAGCTGATATCATACAAAGAAAAATTAAAGAGAGTGATGGTGAGTTCCTGCTTGGCCAGCAGAAAGAGTCTGCATCTTCCCTATGGGCTTCACTCTTCGATGGATCTCATGAGATGGTGGTTCAGAAAAATATGCATCTGAGCCCAAAAAGAGATACTACAAGTCCTAATGATAGCAGAGGAAAGAAAAGAAGAGCTCCACCTCCACCCTCCGATAAGCCACCCTTCAGTGCAAAAGCACAGGTGAACATAGACCAAGTGGGCAAGGAAAGCTGGGAGAAGTCTGACCACACATCTGCTAGTAGTTCTTCCTTTGATCCAAAGTTATCTGCAAAACTGCAGCAGTTGCAGACACCCACTGCTGCTCCTCGCAAAATTGGTCCTTGTAGAAAAAGCGGTTTAGCTGGCCATGGGAATCCCATTTCATCGGTTAACAAGACTGAGTCTGAAACCAAACCGGTACCAACCCCTAGACAAAAATGCATCAGAGAAATGCTAGACCCTAGATCCTGGTTGCAGCCATAGACATCATAATTAGTTTAGAAAAGTGCCTGGAATTTTAAGTTTCTCAGCCTTCTTCTGTATCTCTTGAGTGAAAATAGGTTTTGGCATATAGCTTGTAAGTACTGAGACTGAAATGTTTTTGGTTTGGGATGGGGTTTTTTTTGTTTTGTTTTTCTTTTTTCTTTTTTCTTTTTTTTATTTTTTTTAATTTTTTATTTTTTAGATTTTCTTTTAGGCAGGGCATTACTACTAGCTACAGTCTCAGCTGTAGTCTGTTATCACTAACATCTAAATAATTGCAGTAATAACTGGGGTAGTTATCTCTACCTGAAATTACGGTGCTACTTCTGAGGAGTGGTTCAGTACCTTCCCCTTGAAAAAACTGCAGTGTTCAGGGTAACTCAGTATCTGTGCAGCAGGGTTGTTACCATTACCTTCTGCCAGACCCTTAGCTTAGCCCATCTGCAGCTCCTCAAGCTAGTCCAAGCAGGAATTTTACACACGTTCAGCACAGATCTCACAAAATTGATTTTCTTGGGCTCCATGCTTGGTGTCACCTAAGATATTTTTCTTTCTCCCTCAGTGTTTGTGAACCACTCCTTATAATGTGATATTCTATAAAAAGTTACTGTACTCTTCTGAACAGCTTTAACTCTGTGTGAATTTCTGAAACAGTTCTATCAGTTTAGCGTGGGATCGCCTACATTCTTGCTGGTGCATGCGCTGTCCAAGTAGACCAGGATTATCTGTGTATGAGCAAGAATGCGATCCATCACTGCTGCTTATTTTAGACTAACATGAACATTTAAAAGCTGTACTGCATATGAACACCTATTCAGGCTGGGTTTTTTGTTTGGGTTTTTTTTTTTTTGTTTGACAAATAGGGCTCTCTAGCGTAGCTTCTACTTTGTGGAGCCTCTCAGTGGTTCCTGGTTTGTAAACACAGCAGAGTTACTTGTAAATAGTAAGGTCTTTTCACCACTTATTTTTTACTGAAATAGCAGAGAATGAGTATTTCAGGTCAAAATACTGAACTTTGATGTTCTTGCATCTACACTTACCATTTTTGTAAAAAGTATGGGTTATTAGGGTTCCTGTGGCACCTCCAAATCATCTATTGCAAAACGAAAAGATTCTGTTCACCTGGATTCACAACTTAAATATCCAATCCTTTCCTTTGTTGATGCATTTATGTCAGATGCTGGAACTTATCCAGGAGCAACTGTATACATACAGTTCATTAATTATTTTTTTTTTCCTAAAGTGCAGATGGCTTTGGGACCTTTACTCTTTCTCCTGAAGATACTGTGTGCATGGTTGGTTTGTTTTATCTAATTTTTGTCTTATGCTAAGCTCTTGGCTGCACAGCTGTAAAAGGTGTCTGCTGAATTCCCTCAGTAGTTCATTGCCTATTTGGGATGGGGCTTGAAAGGCAGGTTTCATTTACAAATCCTTTCTCAGGATTAGAGCCCTTTGTTTCTAGAATGTCCTTGTTCATTCTTCGTTTAATCGCATTCCATTTTTGCTCTGAAATAACCATAATCATTCTTACAATAAATCATGCTGTTACTTAAGTGTATGGTTTGTGAATGGTTTATAAATAGGAACAGAAAAACTGAAGAATAACTACATGATTATGTAAATGAGACACAGTCGACTAAGTGGACTGTGCGACTCTGAACAAGAAATAGGAAAAAATAAAGAGGAGAAGAAAAGCCACATTTTCTAAAATGCAGCTGCAGTTTACTTAGCTTTAAATCTAACCTTAAATGTTACTGTGCTCTGGAAAGAATGAATACCTTTTTCCTGGTAACCCCTTTCCATTTAATTGTTATATTTAAAAATAAATCTCATAAATATATAAGGCAAGAAGGCACTGTAATGAGGATTTATTTTTAAATTCGACAGGCCATTGAATTTCAACAAGCAGTTTCTCTTAAATTCGGTGGCTTTGTTTTGAACTGAACATACATATTTTAGGAAGGCATTTAATATTAATTTAAAGCCTTCAAGTGATGAGAATTCACTCATACCTCCTGTTGCAATAATTACCCCAGGTACATTTTTCACTTGATTTTCTATTTGCATTTGTAGCTCCACCTTAAGTTATTTTGGTCTTTTTATGCATTTGATTGCTTATATTGATCTCTGTAGTATCAGCTTTTCTAATTGCTTGTGTGTAGTTATAAATCATGATTATGTCCCTTTTAACCTTTTCTCTGATGAGATGCACTGAATTCCTTAACTTTCTTATGGCAATGAATGTTATACAAGACTAATTAATCTTCACGTTCTCTGTACTTCTCATGTATTGAAATATTTTTAAGTGTGACATCTGAATTGGATGCCACATGTCAATAGTGATCCATCAGGACTATATAGAGACATAATGTGATCCTCTTACTCTGATTAATAGCTCCTTCCCGTCTTCCCTCAAAAATGGTATTATCCTTTTTTGTGGAATCATTGCCTTGGATACTGACTTTTATGGCTCAAGTCCTCTTCAGAGTCTTTTTCAAGAATGCGGTACATCATCCTCTTATTATCCTACCTTATTTTTTTCTTAGAAATCTACGCTGTATTTTACCAGCATTAAAGTAGTGCTCGTGAAGCGATCCAGATTGCTCTGTGTAAGTGACCTGTCCTCATTCTTTACTACTCTAGCAGTCTGCATGTCCTTTGCAAATTTATTGCAAGTGATTTTTACAGTTTCATCCAGATCATTGATTTTTAAAATTGAACGCAAGGCAAGGTTTGTAGAGAGAGGTGATAAGTTTTTATTACATCAGTGACATGGGTAGGGGGTGGGGAAAAGCAAACAGACAGGCCATTGGCCTTCTGTCCCTTTTTTCCCAGAACCTTGAACAAGATGGAAAACAACTGTAGTTCTTGCTGACTCCCTGTTGGTACTGTATCTTGAAATTAGTTTTCTGTCTTCAGCATAACATTCTATATTGATTTGATCTGGTACTGGTATTTTTAACGAAAATGACACGTTCATCTTGTTTTCAGTACATGACTTAGGGTTCTTATGGGTAACGCCTCATTGCAGGTGTCTTTGCAAGCCAAGCTTACTATATCAAAGAGTAAAATGCAACCTGTTGTTCAAGACCTACTCTCCAGGAAGCTGTGTTGATTGACATTTTATATCTATCCTTAAATTAGACTCATATGAGCCAGTTCACTATATTACCCTGATCCCTACTAAGCAAACTAGATCATTAATTACCTGGATCATCCTGCTTCAGAACAACAGTGCTGTTCTTACAGTCCTGTGAAATGTCATGGCAATGTTGAGACTTGTTTAACTAATTGCACATTTAAACTCTTGTAGCTGGAAAGGCTTCTGCTACTGAAAGTAGTTTCTGTTATTTTAAAAAAACACTATATAATCCCTATTATGAAGCATCAGTTGACTTCAGGTTTTAGTATTTATTGTTACTGACTCAGTTGGGTGGGTTTTTTTCCTTCTCTATTGCCATTTATTGTTGCCTTTGAATCTTCTGTTAAGCAAGTTGGTTTAACTGATAAAAACTGCAGGCTACCAGCAAATCTTAGCTATACAATAAAGTCAGTTATAGGAAATATATTTGTACTCAGCTTTTGTCTATGCAAGAGAACGTAAATATTAGTAATGAAAACAGAGCACAGTTTCAGGAGTGTAATTAGAAGATATATCTGTAAGGAAAATGGACATTTTTCTTGGCTTTTCCGTATAGTGACAAATTATAATACTTTATTACTGATACTGGTCCCTTATCATTGCATAGGCTTGCTCAGAAATTAGAACTCTTCCTTTGGTTTGTTTGGGTTTGGTTGTTTTGGGGGTGTTTCTTCCCAAGTTTTCCTGACTATAATGAGGATGAATATTCAAAACAGGAGTTAAAACCAATACATTGCCTGTATCCAAGCACTGTTCAGCCTGGAGAAGAGAAGGCTGCATGGAGACCTCATGGCAGCCTTCCAGTATCTGAAGGGGGCCTATAAGGATGCTGGGGAGGGACTCTTCATTAGGGACTGTAGTGGTAGGACAAGGGGTAATGGCTTCAAACTTAAACAGGGGAAGTTTAGGTTAGATATAAGGAAGAAGTTCTTGACAGTGGTGAGGCACTGGAAGGGGTTGCCCAAGGAAGTTGTGAATGCTCCAGCCCTGGTGGTGTTCAAGGCCAGATTGGACAGAGCCTTGGGCGACATAGTTTAGTGTGTGGTGTCCCTGCTCATGGCAGGGGGGTTGGAACTAGATGATCTTAAGGTTCTTTCCAACTCAAACCATTCTATGATTCTAATATGAGGAAGGTAGCTATGTTGCAGTGTGGTACAGTGCCATTTTAGATTTTGCACTGATTTGTTTCCCAGGCTGTGCTCTCCTAAAATTGTGGCCTGAGACAGGCCCTGAAGTCCATCAGTTGGTAGTGTGAGGGACTGGGGAGCTGTTAGCTTCCATCCTTCAGAGTGGAGGTGAAGGGGAGTCAAGAAGCAGAGAGGTAGAAGGGAGCCTGTCCCTTATGGTGGAAACTGTTAACTGCTGCTTCTCAGCACTGAAGGAGAATGTACCCATTAAGCCATCTTGTCAGTTGCATTCAGTCACAATGGTGCTTTAATTGCATGAGTCAAAATACCAATGATCAAAACCCTGAAGTTACTTGATTAGTGTGTATAAAGAGTGCTAAAATAGGAAATATTATACACAGGCACAAGTGATATTAGCCAGCCTCCTGCTGGGACAAAGCTTGGAAGACAGCAGGAGGCGTGTGGCTTCTCACAGACCTTATGTCCTATTGCCCCATGTTCACATGTGTGCAGGCAAGTTGGTGTGCTCTGCCTGGCAGTGGAGTCCATGGGAAAACAGCGTTTGTTCAGAGTCACTGCACTCAGAATGAACAGCTCAAACTACCCAGTGTAGCATGGTGAAGACGTTGCTAGCATCTGCTACTGCTAAACTACATGTGTGATTAGGTACTTTTGGAGGAGTATGTCAGGCCTGCTCTGAAAACTGTACCTGCTTGTTCGCTGCCGGAATGCATTAATTGCCGCTTAAAAAGCAGCAGGATTGGCGTCTTGAAGTCACACAGAGACAATAGTCAACCTGAACTCTTCTTTTAGAAAGTACAACTTGAAAGCAATTGCTAGTCCAA